ATGTCATTTAATTAGGTTCTTAATCGGATACATTTTTGTTAAGATGCTTTTTCCCTGAAATAAACAAAAACATATATATTAAAGTAACTTTTCGTCCACCGAATGTCGTATGCTTACTTCGTGTTGGAAAAATAGGGTAAATGTGCCACATGAGATATCATTTTTATTTTTGCGTATTTCTAGTAAAATATCACAGGTAAGAAGGTGATTTAACCTGATAATAAATTAGATTTAATGTATATTTCAAAATTATAAATATTTTAGCAATAGTGCTTACCGATTCTGCAACGTGATATAATAAAATAATACAATTTTTATAAGCAAACATGAAGATATCCTAATATGAGATACTAGGATTCCTAATATGAGATATGTTTCATTTTAGACAATTCCGATTTTGAGTTCATTTAAATGAAGAATACAATTTATAAATATACTTTTATCGACTTTAATTATACTTTTTTCTCGACAAAAAATATTATTGGAGACACATCTCATAGATTCTGTAAGTTTGGACTACCTAGCATTTAGCATACCTACTAGTTACATCAACTTTGAATAGTTTGTGTGAAGAAAAGTATATTTTTACTGTTGCTGGTAATATAGATTGAAAAATAATTTTAAGGGCGTCTAGGTTAAATCATCCAATCCTTGCAGTAAAACCACCTTGTGGCGTCCTGTCTACATGAGCCTCGTAACCATTTTTACCAGCCTTAGAAGCCTTTTGGAAACGAAACGGGCGTTAACTAGCAGAAATGTATTAATTTTTTAATATTTTTTCTTGACATAACGTTCCGAGGTACCTTCTGGAACATCATAATATTTTTACGCTTTTTAATATCCTAATTGTTTACGTGTGACCAGATTAACAGCACGTTAAAGTTACGTTTAAGTGGTAGAGCCATGCTGTAGCCATATTAGTTGTATAGTTTTAGCATAAATGGGTCAGCTCGACCGGGACAGGACCACGCTCTCACAGAATACCAGCGTAAAAGAGCAGCTCGACGCTGCTGTTTTTCATATAGTGCGTTTAGAGAACCCGTGATCTTTTTTACCAGAACTGACTCATTCCATCTTAGTCCTCAGGAGTGACAACGCACCTGCATTTTGATTCGTAATCGAGGATATATTTAGATGTCTAGGGGCCACAGCAACCACTTACCATTAGGTGGACATTTGTGCTCGTGTATATCCTTATCCTATAAATTCCGTTGAAAAAAAAACGTTGATACGTGGCGTGATCCCAAATTTTCTTTGGCGGCATTTGCAATAAATAGGTTTACAAGTTAACTATTGTTTGTAACTGGAACCCAAAAACCTAATTCATATTAGGTTTTTGGTTCAGTTCGGTTTCAGGTACAACAAAAGATAAAGATTTTATGGGACACAGCATCCAGTTACCATCAAGTAGACTGTATGCTCGTTTGTCACCCAATGCTATAAAAAATTCCCATTTTAGGAGCCCACTGGTGTATCATATAAGGAACTCACTATTATCGCAACATCATCATAATCATTACAGTCCACTGCTGAACATAGGCCTCGCCCAAGGAATGCCACAAAGCACGGTCCTGAGCCACCTGCATCCATCGACTTTCTGCATGTCTTACCAGGTCGTTACTTCATCTAGTGGGGGTCGCGCTACACTTCGCCTACCGGTATAAGGCTGCCACTCGAGATTTTTTCCCCAACGGTTGTCGGTTTATCGAGCTATATGGCCGACCCATTGCCACTTCAGCTTACTAATCTGTTTGGCAATCATACGTAATGTTTGTTATATGTGATAACAAACATTACATATGTATGATTGAATAAATAATATAATTATATTATGATTCAATAAATAATACGATAAAATGTTAATTGGAATATTAAAATTCACTCTTTAAAAGATATCACAAATCTCTATTTAATCCAAATGTACTTATTTTTTATGATTTAAGATACTTCGTATTCTTCGTCGTATCGTCGTAATCTTATCCATTCCCGACATAAGTCGAGGTGGTAGTGTATTTTTACGCCTTTTTGCCGGACCCTAAATGGTGCACGTTTGAACACGAGCTAATGACTGACCAACAGTGTTTCCACTTTAATGATTTCCTTTCCCCACGCCTCAATTGAGATTTCCCCTTCTCAGGACTTTTTTCCCCTCAAAAATTATTCTGCTGTAGTTTTAGCACTAGTAGTAAAAATCTGCTCATTCAACCTTATAATATCATTGTGTGGTACACAATCACTTATAATTGGATGATACATATCAAATAATAACCAAGCATAGGTACCACAGAGTAAAATTGCGCTGAAACATTGAAAAAACCTGTCGACTTTGCTCATCACTAGTTTGATGTAACTGCACATCACTGGCTGTCAATCTTTAGGATTTAAAAAGACGAATCATTGTGCACATCTTCATCTGTACGATCGATTCAATATAAAACATTTTTGCCGTCTGAAAAACTTTTTGAACTTCACAGTTTTCTTTTTCTTTATTTTCCACCTATGTTAATAATTGAGTTGCATCCACACCTAAATAAAAACGTTGCAATTCAAGATGTTCTTTTGTCTGATAGGGATTGATTTGTTAGCAGGGGTTTGTTTGACATAATATCTATTTATGAAATTTAACGCCAATGTTCACACATTACTGTGGATTTAACAGAACTAGACAAGGAATGGAGAAATAAAAGTCTCCTTGCAGACATGGATTCTAGCGATTCTACGGATACTGTACGGTATAGGAATAAAATTTTGCAAAATAATGTTAAGGGCAGACGCAAATACATTCAACTGCCAATTTTGGTTAACTATTTTATGTCACTGCCTTTTTCCAATGCTGCCGTAGAACGGTTATTTAGTGATATAAAACTATTAAAACAGATAAACGCAATAGGCTCGATAATGAAACAGTTGGATCAATCCTGTGCGTAAAATCTGGCTTGAAAAGAATGGGAACAACCTCTGCACAACTTTAGAAAAATCAGTTTGAAACACCACACCTTAAGTTCGTACAGTCCAATGGAACTGCAAGCGAATCAAAAAAAAAATAGACAAAGCCTGAATAAAGTACAATTCACAATTTCGTATTCTTATTTGTAGCCTGACCAGAAATATATAAAACCTGCACGTCGTCAGCTGAAGTCGCAGACCTCATAGCTCCATTTTTCAAAATGACATTTTTATATTGTTGTATTACTAATTTCTGACCGCATCTAATAGCAAAACTCCCAAAACCCCCTTAAGTATATTATGTATATAAAATTAAACCTTGTATAAAAATTTCGTGGTGAAGTGCCTCCTGTAAAATTTCTTTTGAAGGAGTTACGAGGTCTGCGACTCCGACGACGTATCGCCACTGTTTATTTTATACGGTAACACTATAGTGCACGGTATAGACCACGCAAAAATAATTCCTCAATTTACCGCAATATTTTAAGCTAGGCTTTACCCATGATTTTCCTCGATTTCCCCTTTTCATGTCTTTCCCCTTTTTTCTTCCCCTATGGACCCTAATTTCCCCTCAAAAGGGGAATTTCACCTCATTGTGGAAACACTGCTGACCAAACAATACCACTGTTGCTCACTACTAGTAAATGATCTTTCAAATGCTGAACTATCCCATTTTAAGAATCTATCTCATATTAGGTACCTTTACCCTATATACAGGTCCGGAGAATTATCTGGGATTTTGTTGTAAAAGCGTATACATTTCCCCGTGAAGGAATTACTGACTCTTCGGAGTCGATTAACTGGTGGACTAACTTGTGCTTATTCTTATGCTAAATGTATAGGTACCTACCTCAACGGAACGCAAGGAAAAGTCAACAAACACACCTCCGCATTCACAAAATTAAGTAGGGATTTTATCGTAGTTACCACCACCACTTAATTTTGTTATGGATTTTTTGCGATACGTGCAAATTACAATAAAATTGAACTCTCTTGGAATTGAATAAAATCATTATCGTAGTGACACTATGAAAAATAAGATGTTTAGGCATTTTCTAGAGAGGCCTTCGCTCGGCAGTCGATTTTTAAAAGACTTTAACATTTATATCCCCATATTTCTTATTAATTAATTAATTAATTCATTACAGCCATTCAAAAGTCCTGTTGAACATAAGCATTCCCCTTCTCCCCGGACCGCTGAGTAGTGTGCACGTATTCCACAGTTCCGTGTTAAACAAAATTAAATAAACAATTTTGTTAATTTTGTTTAACACGGAATTAAATAGAGTTCTTATATTAAATACCTCACGCAAAAATAGGAGTGCATAAAAACACAGGAGTAAAAGGATTGTTAACTACGAGACAACGCATATAACACGACGGATTGCATCAATTTTGCCAAATAAGTACGTACAATAAACCTACTCAAATAATACATAACGTCCGTGAACTTCTGATACCTCCTAACTCGCATTTTTTTCGCAAAACCTTTTTTAACGCCATCGTTTGACAGAGATCAGAACCAATAGAATGCATTAACCTCCTAAATAAAATACTTGTTTTTTTTGGTCACAATCCGTTCGGAGAAATACCTTCTAAATTTTGCCGACCTATTTTTGCTGGAAATTTCTCCTAACTAACAGTTTGCTCGAAGCGCGTACACGGCTATTTAGTATTCTGGCGTTTGGCATTTAAAAGTATTTTTTTGGTATTTTTATCACTTCGTTGGTATTTACATTAGTGTTATAGCTAACTGAAGGTGTTTCACTGATTTTGTTTCATAAAGTAGGTACGTATATTATTATTAGCTATGATTTATTTCAGGTTAAAGTTTTTTTGTCAGATAGGAGTAATTTCTTTGAACACTTTTTACTTCAATTTGGTAAGTTATGTTTTCAATTAATGCAGTTAGAAGAAATTTCTTAAAAGTTTAGTACTTACTTTTACCTTCTTAAATATCTACGATCTTTTAACCTGTCTGAGGAGTACGATCATAAATTATTTGGTATTTTGTGTAGTTAAAAGATAACTTATTTATTTCAGATTTTGTCGTAATGGCATCAAGAAACAGAAACAGAACACTCGTTAATATAATTTGCAATCCAACTGAACCAGAGAATATGGCATCCACGTCTCATACACCTGTTTCTGTTTTGGTAAAGAATGTCCTAACAGAACCACATTCTTTTGAAAGGATTGAATCTCAGTTAGGGGAAATTTTACTAACTGCAGACAATGACCTCATTCAATTAGAAGACCTAGTGGCGCTTGACTCACCGTCGCTATTAGAAACACCGTCTCCGAGGCCAACTTCACCACCACCTGTGAGATGCTTGTGAGGACTTTTCGCCTGATGACGACAGCGATTACGAACCACCCAATGATCGTGGTGCTTTAAGTTCGGATTCAGAAAATATCCCTCCAAATGAAGAGACTCTGCAAACGAACGAAGAGGTAGTTCACTTTGGAGATATGTTTGAAGGCCGACGTAGACAGAGACTAGCTCAACCCGAAAGTTGGAAGAAAAGTATTACTAAACGGTTAAGGATGGAGGGGAAAGAGTATGTCGGTTACAAAAGACCAAAGGGTGAGAAAGTACAAAGCCAAATTCGAAACCAAAGGGTCCTTGGCCCTAAATGCAATTCAGATTTTTGTAGATAGTAAGTTGAGATGTTGTGATGAAGTAGGGGATGAGGACAGAGAGAAGATATTTCGACAATTCTGGAGCAATATGGACTGGCATCAACGAAAAGTGTATGTTGCTAACAACATAACTTTCCAGGAAAAAGGTAGGCAGACATCAATAAATTCGAGAAGAGCTGGTACTTTCGTTTATTTTCTTCCAGTGACTAATTCTGTAGATGGAACCACAACTAAGAAGCGTGTGTGCCGTGAAATGTTTATTCAAACTTTGTGTATTGGAACATTTTCAGTTCAAAATTGGGCAAAAAAAGGAATATGTGGCATGCATCTATCTGAAAAAAATAATAATCGTAACCGTCGTCCTAAAGCGCAATTGTCTCAAAGACTTGACATTCTCGATAACTTTTTCAATGTATTACCTAAAATGCCGTTGCATTACAACTGTCATAACACTACCAAAGTCTACTTGGAACCAATTTATCGCAACGCCACTCACTTATACAATACTTATAAACAATACTGCTCAGAAAAAAATGCAGATCCTTACGCTAGAAATAAATTCAATCAAACTATCAAATCGAAGAATATAGCTATCCACACAATAAAGAAGGACATGTGTGATGTTTGTGTAGGTCATCAGAGCGGTAATGTAAGCGAAATTGACTAAACACATCTAAGAAGATAAAATCGAGCCCGTGAAGAAAAATCTGTGGATAAAAGTGAGGCGATCAAGGTAAACTGCATAGTTTTAACAATGGATTTACAATCGGTTAAAATGTGTCCGTTTATCACAGCTAGTGCTGTTTACTATAAAACAAAATTATGTGTACATAATTTTACAGTCTATGATTTAGCATCTCATGAGTGTACATGTTACTGGTTTACAGAAACGGAAGGTGATCTATCAGCGTCTACCTATGGTCATTTATTATTGATTATTTGATCCGCCATAGCCTTCCCAAACATCTACCCATAATAATATATTCAGATGGCTGCACAAGCCAGAACCGAAACAATATATTATCGAATGCTTTATTAAATTTCTCCATGCAACATCAAGTGGCTATAATACAAAAATATCTTGAAGTCGGACACACGCAGATGGAAGGAGATTGTGTACATAGCGCTATAGAAAGGAAATTGAAAAATAGGCTAATCCACTTACCAAGTGATTACCTGTGGGTTACCAAAGAAGCTCGCAAAAATCCTTGTGAGTACGAAACTGTAATGGTAGACTATACATTTTTCAAAAAATATTCGGCTCCTGAAACATGGCGCTACACTTCGATCCGACCGGGACGCAAAGCTGGAGATCCAAAAGTTAATGATATAAGGGCTATTTTTTATGACAACACAGGCCTGATTAAGTTTAAATTGGACTTTGACTCCGATTGGGATAGCTTCCCTCAAAGGGTTAATAAAATTGCCATCATAAGAGAGTACGCATCCCTGCATAGGAATAGAATACCTATCACATACCAAAAATATAAACATTTACAGGAGCTAAAGTCTGTTATCCCATTGGACTGTCATTCCTTTTACGACAGTTTACCTCATAATGAACATTAACATTCCTAATGTTACCTTAGTATTAGAAATATGATTTAACATGCTGGATAAATGATGCGAATTACTTGCTAAGATTATTTTAAGTTTTATAAAAACCTCAAAGATTTGAAATAATTTTAAGAATGTTAATTAATTTTTAAAGCAACCTTTTTCAAGACTGTTTAAGTTTAAGTTTTATTTCTCATATTTTTATTAATGTCTGATTGTGATTTTGTAACATTTCCCTTTAGCAACATAAATAAACATTATATTTCTGTATTTTATTGTTCTTCCTTAGTTCAAAATTTAAGTTAGATGCACACTTTGGGGGTTGATTTCTCCTAAGTAACTAAAGGAAATATCTCCTATCTGACTTTGGTATTGAATTCGAAAACTTAAAACTCCTAACTAACATAAAACAAAAAAAAAACAACAGCACTAACTTTATTTAATTATAATTAATAAAATGACATAAAAACGGACCAACTACTTTTTTTGTTTTATAAAAAACATCGTGAAAAGGAAATAAATCAGTTTTATGGCCCTACTGTAAAATTTGTTTGTAGGTAGATAGGGGATCTCAGAAGTTCACGGTCGATAAATAGTAAAGGGAATAAGCGAGATAACCTCTATTTATCATACCCGCTTTGAGGACAACAGTAACGTCAAAAGACTTGCTTTGAGCGGTGGCTGTATGAATTGATTTTACCTCCTCTACTTTCTGCTCGCCTAGTATTATATCGTGTCATCTAAAGCGCTTATTACACTATACAATTTTTAGGAAATCTAATTAGGAAATAGGAAGGTATAATCGTAGTTAGAACAGTTAGGATCCGATTTAGTCAAATTGGAGGTCCCAATCGCTCTACTTCCTAAATTGTTTACAATTTAGGACAGTGTAATCGCAACGTTACGATTTAGAACAACCAGTCGGGTCGGCGCCCGCGCTTTGATACAAGCGGATGTCTTAAAGTTTTGATAGAAGTTTTGGTAGAAGTCTGATATCAGAGAGCAGTACTTTAAATCTTAATATTAATTTCCGGTGGCTATAAAACGTAATATCACCATCAAACATTCTTTGGTACTCACACTTTATCGAAATATCGTGACTTCTTTTTCAATATGTTTGGATACCAAACTTAACAAATATTCAAACTGTTTATAGGTGGTAGAACCATGCTTCAGTTATATTAGTAGTATAGTTGTAGCACGAATGGGTCGGCTCGACCGAGGAAGCACCACGCTCCCACAAAATACCAGCGTAAAATAGTAGCTTAATGTTGCTGTGTTTCGTATGGCGAGTGTAGAGAACCGGAGACCCTTTTTACTGGAAACGAGGCATTCCATCTTAGTCGTCACAGGTGACAACGCATCTGCATTTTGATTTGTAATCGGAGATAGATGTAGATGTCCATGGGCCGCAGCAACCACATATCATCAGGTGGACTGTGTGCTAGTTTGTCACCCTATCCTATAAAAAAACTGCTTAGAATCTAAAAATATATAATTATATTCATATTGGATAGTTTTTTATCAATGACAAGTATTCTTTTTTCTTTTTTTAATATCCATTGTTCCCACCATGGCTAAGGCAAGTCCTATTTTCTGCAGTTTTGATAAATACGGCGCCATCGATCAAACGTGCAACCCCGTCGATACTTCTTTACGAATGATAGATGTAGATGTCCATGGGCCGCAGCAACCACTTATCATCAGGTGGACTGTGTGCTAGTTTGTCACCCTATCCTATAAAGGAACTGCTTAGAATCTAAAAATATATAATTATATTCATATTAGACAGTTTTTTCTCAATGACAAGTACTCTTTTCTCTTTTTTTAATATCCATTGTTCCCACCACGGTTAAGGCAATCACGGATAAATACGACGCCATCGATCAAACGTGCAACCCCGCCGATACTTCTTTACGAATGCGGTTCATCACCGTAGTGTGATCACTAGCTTCCAATTTAGGTTCCTAATTAGATTTCCTAAAAATTGTATAGTGTAATAAGCGCTTAAGCGCTTATTACACTATACAATTTTTAGGAAATCTAATTAGGAAATAGGAAGGTGTAATCGTAGTTAGAACAGTTAGGATCCGATTTAGTCAAATTGGAGGTCCCAATCGCAGTACTTCCTGTACAGTGTAATCGCAACGTTACGATTTAGAACAACCAGTCGACGCCCGCGCTTTGATACAAGCGGATGTCTTGAAGTTTTGATAGAAGTCTGATATCAGAGAGCAGTACTTTAAATCTTAATATTAATTTCCGGTGACTACAAAACGTAATGTCACCATCAAACATTCTTTGGTACTCACACTTTATCGAAATATCGTGACTTTTTCAATATGTTTCGATACCAAACTTAACAAATATTCAAACTGTTTATAGGTGGTAGAACCATGCTGCAGTTATATTAGTAGTATAGTTGTAGCACGAATGAGTCGGCTCGACCGAGGAAGCACCACGCTCCCACAGAATACCAGCGTAAAGCGTTTCGTATGGCGAATGTAGAGAACCGGAGACCCTTTTTACTGAAAACGAGGCATTCCATCTTAGTCGTCACAGGTGACAACACATCTGCATTTTGATTTGTTATCGGAGATAGATGTAGATGTCCATGGGCCGCAGCAACCACTTACCATCAGGTGGGCTGTATGCTAGTTTGTCATCCTATCCTATAAAAAAACTGCTTAGAATCTAAAAATATATACTTAATTATATTCATATTGGACAGTTTTTTCTCAATCACAAGTACTCTTTTCTCTTCTTTTAATATCCATTGTTCCCACCATGGCTAAGGCAAGTCCTATTTTCTGCTGTTTTAATAAATACGGCGCCGTCGATCAAACGTGCAACCCCGTCGATACTTCTTTACGAATGCGGTTCGTCACGATTTAGAATCCAATTTAGTGTAGTGTGATCACTAGCTTCCAATTTAGGTTCCTAATTAGATTTCCTAAAAATTGTATAGTGTAATAAGCGCTTTAACAATACTTTTGTCACTACAGAAGCGTGCTTGTGCACATCGAAGAATTAAATCTTTAGTTTATATACTACCCTGGTACCATATAATATATTTCTGTTGACATTGGACCGGACATTTCGGCAAAATGATTCCTCACTACTCTATTGTGCTTCTGTTATCCTGGTCAATTCTGTTGCATATGGAATGACATTAAGTAACTGATCTGACTTATCAAACAACAGGTACAGAAAACTAAAATATCTTACAATACCTATCTGTTCTCCTTGTGGAATATTATTGATAAACGTCGCCTAATTTATTCATTATACATAAAACATATCCCGAGATTTTTACTTCAAATATACCAACTTAAGTACCTGTGCTCCTAGTGTTTGAGTGTGTCACTTCTTAAGATTCCTCTAAGTTTTCACTCCTATAAGTGAGTCTACGAGGTGTTCTTCGAATACTCTTCTGGCGGTTTTACTTACTGTCGCCAAGACCGCTTTCACCTATGCCTAAAATGCTTAGATCACCGCCTTGTGATACTTTGCGAATTGCCTCTAACCCTGAATTAGCGTCCAATATCACACAACGAGAAAATAAACGGCGCCGAACTAGCGACGCTGATAGCGAAACTGAAATAGTCTCTACGGATGCTATTAACGAGCTCAAGACAATGCTGGAAACCTTTGTTAATATTCAAAATACAAGATTAGACAATATAGAAAAGAAACTAGCACTTGTCACAAATCAAAATGTAATCATACAACAAACCAATTCGGAAATAGAAAAGTCCATAAATTTCGTCTCAGACAGAATAGATAACCTGCAAAAAGATGTCTCCAACATAGAAAAGGATCGCAAAGCTCTTGAGTCACAAATAAACACAATAAATACCAAATTCGACGCCTTGGAGAAATACATTCGCAAGACGAGTATTGAGATACGTAATGTTCCGAAAATAAGAGGTGAAAATAGGGAGACTTTATTTAAATATGCACACACCCTAATCACGAACTTAAATGTATCTATGGAACAAAAAAATCTTCGTGATGTTTATCGTCTGCCAAGCAAGGCTGATGCAACATCCTCCACAATTGTAGCTGAGTTAGGGAGTAGTCTACATAGGAGTCAGGTAATTGATGCAGTAAAACGCTATACTAAAGACAATCCTAAAGACTCACTTAACTGTAATCATATGGGAATTATGAATGTTAAATCATCAATTTACGTAAGTGAACATCTGACAACAAAATCTAAAAGACTATACTTTCTTGCAAGAGATATAGCCAAAACTATGGGTTACTCATATTATTGGACGTCAAACGACAATGTGTACTTGCGCCGTAAAGAAGGAGATCCACACATTCTCATAAGAAACGAATCCCAACTCTCCGAACTTAAAATACTAAGTGACTAGACGTAAGATGTTTTATAATATTAGTTATCCTAGAATACTCTTAAGTTAAATTAGTTAAGTTTAAGAAAATATACTCTAAGCTATCCTCTTTTTTTAATAAACATAACCTACACTATTTCATATACACTCCCACACATAACTCACAATCATTTAATGCATACCACAACTTATTTACTTAAGATCAAACTTAATCAACATTTACTCACTTTCTTACTAAAAAAAGACTATACAACACAAAATATATTAAGTCTCACAGTTTTTACATTGTCATGAACTGTAAAAAAATAATACTTGTATAAAATAACTTTTTATTATTTGATTATTTATACATTAGGATTTAAAATAGTTTATCATAACCTTAATAATAAGATGCGGTATAAAATATTAGGCCATCTTAAGACTAATAGTATGACGTTGCAATCATTTCGTTACCTATTAATAAATATACATAAAAGGCGCTAACATAAATGAAATATCAAATAATCTAGATGATATTACAAATTCAGAATTTTATATTTGCAATCCTGAGGATATATGCCCTATAATAAGTCAACCAAAAAACTACACAAATATTCTATGTCAAAATATTCGAAGCATAAAACGAAACTTTGATGGTTTAACTGTGCTTATAGAAAAGGATGCATGTAGATTTTGATCTAATTATCCTAACTGAATGTTGGCTGTCCTGCTCTGGTCCAATGCCTTTATTAGAATCGTACTCTTCTCATGCCACGAAAAAAACTTACGATCAGAACGACGGAGTGCTGATCTATATTAAAGATAACTTGAAATGCGCCGTTGAAGAGCCTACTTTCCAAGAAGCTAACTGCTTGATAATTAAATTTGGAACACATACAGTAGTGATAGGGATTTGTCGTCCATACTGCTTTAAAAACGATGCAACAAATTTTTTTTCATCTTTGAACCAACTTCTCACTGAACTAAAATGCTTCAAAAATATCGTTCTAATGGGCGATATTAATATAGATATCTCCCCTGATAACCAACCAACCAACCAGCAAGCCGAACAATATTTTTAAATTTAACAGCATCCCATGGACTTCTTCCAGCTTTTACATCGTCAACTCGAATGTTCACATGTATTGATCATTTATTACTCAAAACACGTCAGCCCGCTAAATCATTTGTTATACAAACTTGTTTAACTGATCATGAAGCTGTAAGCTTTAGTCTTAAAATCAAACAACCTAAATGCTATTTTAACGGATTTTTTCGAAAAATTGATCACGTTGGTCTTAAGCAGTTTTTATTAGACGCAAATTTTGGTCAAATATATGACAATAATAATCCTGAAGAAGTAGCAAATTTCTTAGTAGAAACTTTATCAAAAGCACTGAAAAACAACACTAAAAATATAAGATTGTCCCATCGTAAAGCCACATTCAAGCCATGTATAACTCCTGGCATCTTAAGATGCATGAGAAATCGTGATAAACTACATAAGAAACTTAAACTAACACCCGATAACGAAACCCTAAAAATAACATATCGTAGATATCGCAATTTCTGTAATGATATTCTTAAAAAACTTAAAATACAGTATCAAAGCAGTGAACTTCAAAAAGCCGGCAATAACAGTAAAAAGATATGGGAAGTAGTAAAAAGTGCAACACATCTCAATAAGCATAGTTTAGAGGCAAACGATTTGCTGGGACACCTTACCACTCCGGTAGGATCTGTTAATGAAGTTAATAAATATTACACTAACGTAGGTGTGAAATTAGCTAACAAAATTTTGCAAAGTATTTACCATAAACCTGATATAAATGAAACTACAAACAAATCATTTGTTATGCTATACTGATTACGAGGAGGTACATAATCTCATTATATCATTAAAAACAGTTGTGCTACGGGATGGGACGGTATATTAGGTGACTTGCTAAAGACCTACAGAGACATACTTGTTCCCCCGATAACATACCTATGTAACATCTGCCTTTCTACTGGCATCTTTCCTTGCGCTTTTAAGAGAAGTATTATCCGTCCTATTTTCAAAAGTGGTGATAGAGGCATTGTCTCAAACTACCGACCCATATCAATTTTAACATCTCTTACAAAAATTCTGGAACGTGTTATTATCAAAAGACTTGTGAACTACCTTGAAACAAACAAGCTTCTTTCAGAGCAACAATATGGTTTTCGTGCTGGTAGGTCTACAGATGATGCAGTTCACGACCTCATAGATCGTGTAGTTCGGGGGATGGATGACAGCAAAAAGTGTCTCGCGATATTCCTGGACTTAGCTAAGGCGTTTGACACTGTCTCTGTCCCACTTTTGATAAATAAACTTGAGGGGCTTGGTGTCAGGAATTTACAGCTAGATCTGTTTAAAAGTTATCTAACAGGTAGAACACAATGCGTTAAGATAGGAGAACATACCAGTGATGAAGTAACAATAACGTACGAAATACCTCAAGGCAGTATACTGGATCCGACCTTATTTTTGGTTTACATCGATGATCTGTGTACCATGAAGGTATCTAATGGGAGAATTTTGTCCTTTGCGGATGATACAGCTTTGGTTTTCAGCGGCGATAATTGGAAAGATACGTTTGCTTGTGCACAATCTGGATTAAATAGAGTTCTTAAGTGGCTAAGTGGGAACTTGCTAACGATTAATATCGATAAAACTAAATATGTAACATTTACAATCCGTAATGTCTCTCTCCCCTTAGATGAAAACCTTTCGCTTATAGCTCATACCTGCGATCTGGTAAATGCATGTAGTTGTACCGGATTAGAAACTGTTGACAAAATTAGATACCTGGGAATAATTATTGACCAGAACCTATCTTTTAGGCCTCATATTGAGCAACTTACGGCTCGTGTACGTAAACTCATATACGTCTTTAGAATACTTCGCCAAATTGCTGAATATAAAATTATACGCGCCGTATATTTCGCCCTTTGTCAATCCATATTCACATACTGTATTTCTGTGTGGGGAGGTGCAGCTAAATCCTATGTAACGTCTCTGGAGGTGGCCCAAAGAGCCATCCTAAAGGTGGCAAAGTTTCACCATTTCCTTTACCAGACCAGAGATTTATACAAGGAATGGAATGTACTAACGGTTCGTCAACTCTTTATATTGTACACTGTCCTAAAACAACATTCTAATACCGCCTATAACCCTTCGACACAACGTGTACGGAGAAAGGATATTGTTTGTGTCCACCAAAAATTTAGAACAGCATTTGCAAAGAGGTTTTTTTGTTATATTGCTCCTTTACTATATAATAGAGTAAATCGTATACTGGGTATATACCCTTTAACAAGAGCAAACTGAAAATTTACTATTAAAACATGGTTATTGACTAAAGACTATGATGACAGTGAGGCTCTTATCAAAATAATTTGATCATCCTGAACACACACACACACACACACATTTTGTTCTTTTTTTTCTCTTTTAAAAGCTATATTATATTTCTTTTGATATACACCTCTCATTAGTACATACTTTCCATGATTATTTGTCCGGTGGTGGAGGCCTCGTGGCTGTAGCACAGGGAATCCTTGTATTGTCACCAGTCTCTACAACTAGCATTTGTAAGTTACTTAAAAAAAATTTAGATGTAATGATGTTATAAACTGCAATTGTAGAGAGAAATAAAGATTATTATTATTATTATTCCGCGGGAATACAACGAAGCATTGTCTGGAGCCATCTGAATATTTGTTTATTTATTTTACCAGGTCATCACTTCATCTAACAGGGGGCCGCCCTAGACTTCGCTTATCGGGACAAGGCTGCCACATGAGAACCTTTTACGAGTATAATAAAAATAATGTCCTCCAGAACGAATTTCGGCCACGGCGACCTGACCGGAGGCAGCCATCGACGCAGGACAGGATTATAGTGCCCAAGTGTATGCGCAAGCACAGGCGCACTCTCTATTCCCTCACTCTCATGCAATCAAACAATGGGACGGTAAACCGACACGACCGGAGAGAGATCAGGCGCAGGACCAACGGCTTTACGTGCTTTGCGAGGCACGGGGTGGGACACCACCTACTTCCTGATTCCGGGAAACTACTGAGAATTTCTTGACAGAAACACTCAATAATTAATTTTTTGGCCCAACCCGGGATTCGAACCCAGGACCTCATGATCAGCAGTCGCACTACTACAACCACTAGACCAATGAGGCAGTCATCATATATCATACTGGCGATCCGCTTCGGCTTCAAACGGGTGATTTCATCGACCAACTGTCTACACAACAGCGCCACCAACCGGGTCCAATTGTGAATCTAAACCATCCAGGGACCCGAAACAATTATTTGTAGGCCATAAAATACTAGATCCGTGCGGAATTCGGACGCGCGACCCTCAGCGCAGCAACTCATGCTAGCTACGTCGGGGAGCAGATTTTTGTATATAGAGATGTAAGAGCCTAAATAAATCGTAAACAACTTCTAAATCTGTTTGGTTGGAAGAAACAAGTGCGTAAGCGATGATACTAATCCCGCGATTCAACAATTTCAAAACCAAAAAGCTTTCATTTTTGTTTAGTCAAGAAACAATAATAATAAAGTACGTTTGCCAATCAGTGCGTTCTAACATAATTTTCACTGTATTTACCACATAGACGAATTTATCAATGTATAGATATCAATTTATAAAAAAAATACGAAAGATTAAACTTCTAAAAAAACTAAAACCGAATTTAAGTTCCAGAAGTCCATGATACGACTGATAGACTGATAAAAATCGATTATGACATCGAATTTTACTATACACATAATTCGGTATTTTTAACGTTTAGTTATTTTGCCCTTTTGAACGGACTCAAGAATATCACAGCATGAAAGCAACAACAAGAATATCGTCTAAAAAGTTACATTAAAAATTCAACCCTTGTTTTTCCACCCTTTGGAGTGAATTTAATATTAAAATTTATATGACCACCTTTAAAGAAATAATTAAATAAGAATCATTAAAATCGATTTAGCTATTGCCGAGAAATTTGTGA